CAGTTTGACAAGACCAAACATGGTCATCACGAGAAACAAGTCCTCCTCTCCGGCCAATGCGCAGAGCAGGGCCAGAGCCATGATCTGCATGCATTCATCATACCGCTCATAGCGGATTCTACCTCGTTCAAGGCGCGCCATTCCCTCGGTTCGTAGCGTTTACGGGGTGGAGGCTCCGAGGCTCAGCCGTTAGGTTTTCGGTCTTGCGCTCAGTGTTTTTTTAAAATCGAGATTTCGCCGCTGCTGAGCTCCGAAAGGTATCAAGCGGCGAAATAAGTTCGTGTCAAAATATCAACCGTCACTTTTTTTTGACCCGAGCTGCCTTGTGTCAAAATTCTCGGGTCAAAAAAAGGTGGGAACCCTAGACTATTTTTCGTGTCGATTTGCCTACCCTCACTTTTTTTTGTGTCAGTCTATCTCAGTCCAAAATTTTCGTGTCAATTTAACATGGGAACCCAGAAGTACTGCTGAATATCGAATGTAGCTACGCTGCGTCTGCTGGGTTCTCATACTGGATGGCAAAACTCATCGTAGCTCCGAAGCACACCGCTTCCCGCTTCGCCGTTCCCCTCCTCCTGTGCGTGAAAAAAACACAAACAAAAACACGCAGAGAGCATGACGCACCCACACACACACGCCCTGGCCCGTACTCCCAAAAGTGACCCTTCAGCTGATACATAATGGCATCTAATTATCAGAAAGGTCGACCACGTGTAAGGAGGATTCTTAACGATTTTTCGGTTTGTTGGAATATGCCGACTGGCTTTCGGAGAAATCCGAACGGACCGCCTGACGTTTCTTAATGTCAGGCGGTCCATTTTTTGAATTTCTCAGACTTTTCGGTTTGAAAACGTACAGCATTTACACACCACAGCCTTCAGGCAGGCGGCAGCGCCAGCGTACAAACATGCAGAGCGACGAGAACAGCGGACCTACCGGCGGCAGGCCGCCGAGGGGCCATCGCCGACCCGCGAGATACGACAACACAGGCGAAAGTGGTGCTGCCTGTGGTCATGGGTTGGGTCATGGGTTGCAGCAGTCTGCTGCCGCCGTTGATGATGACAACGGCCGCGGCCGCGACCCTCTCCCGAGCCACGCCTCTCGCCGGCTGCGCGTGGCCGCCCCCGCCGCTGCCGTAGAAGCGGAGGGTTCGCGATGCCCCCTTACGATGCTGTCGCAAGCTGCCGGGGTCGCCGGGTTTGCTACCACGACAACCACCGCAGCAGCCATCGCCCGCATCACGGAAAGCGGGTTCATCTCCAGGCTGCGACGCTTTCGCCGCCTTTGCTCCGCGAAATCTGCAGATCCACAGCGCTTTCCGTGACCATCCATGGTCTACAAGCTTACAGGCGACACAAGCAAGCCACCTGGGGACTGTCCCCGAGATCTGGAGTGCGAGAGGGTGCTCAGCGTGCTGGCGACTGCAGTGCAACTCGAGTGCTCCCATTTCGGAGTCATTTCGGAGTTTCTCTTCGGAAAATGCCGAAAATGAAGCGGCGCCCGAAAAATTCCGACGCTTCATTTTCAGCATTTTCCGACAAGAAATCGGCATTTTCCGAAAAAGTAGGGCGCATGTCGGCATATTCCAACAGAACAAATCTCGTTAAGAATCCTCCTAAGCGAATCATTGCCTTAAGTTTGACTTCGTGGGTACATTGTATTCCAAATTGTTCTCCATTTTTGCCCTGCCCTCTTCATGCGGCTGACTTCTACTTTGAGTTCCCCTCGCTGCCAGTGGGACCCCCCCCTTGCCACAATTGGACAGATTTTTCAGGGGCGGAGTAGAAACGCTCGAAACGCTCCGCGGAGCTTTCTTATTGTGTTATTATTTTGCTCTTCGAGCGGTTCTTTTATTTGAAAATACCACGGAGCGGGGCGGAGCGGTTTATCCGGGGGTAAAAGTCTCATGAAGCGGAGATGTTTTTTTCATGACACTCAGCGGAGCGGTTTATCCGTAGAGAAATTAGCACGTTACGGAGAGCGGTACTGTTCACTCCGTAGCATGTCCCGCGCGAATAAGTGGCCTCGAGGACGGTGCACCGTCAGGCAAAGAAGTCGAAACCGCACGAATACATACATTCGTAAATAATACGTACGTTGGTTCGTTACATCGAAAATCGAATT